TTTTTTTTTTCATTATTTGTGCCCGCCGCCTCCACCATAAGCAGCCCCACCTCGTCACTGCTTTGAACTGAGCTTAGGCTGCAGAGTAAGAATCGACCGTTGGGCAGTGATGTGACGACAGGGACATGGTTGTGCTGAAACGACGTGGTGCTTATCGCTCGCTCGACTGGCCTGCGCTGGAGTGTTGGGAGAAATACGCTCGGAATCGGTCCGACCGACCCAGAACGCGGCGGCGGGGTCACGTTGCGAGCGAGCTTATAGTCTGTCTGTCACCGACATGGAAGCTCTGATGCAGCCGCGAGACAGCTCTGGCAGCGCCCGTCGGAGTCTCCGCCAAATCTGAGCGTCGGGGCTTCCATCGACTTTTTAGCTCCCCGGCAACTGCTCAGTACACCCTGGATCCTCTGCTCTCGGTCCATCCGCTCGCATCCCACCAGCTCAGCTCAGCTCAGCTCAGCTTCTTTCCTCTCCCACCATCTCATTCGCCCTCCCGCCCGCCACGCCACTATGGTCTGCATCGGCGCCCGCTAGTCGTCACACCATCATCGCATCCGCGTTCGCTCTCGCCGTCAATCATCGGGCGCATCGCCACGCACCTGCAATACCCTGAGCCAACACGATACCCCGGGCCAGCATGGTGCCCGCGCCCCGTCGAGCATCTCCCGGTGCGGACGACCGCCAGCCTTCAGACCCCTCGGCCATCGCAGCCTCCAAGCACTCCAAGCCGTCCACTTCGAGGTCCAGAGCTCCATGGCCCTTGGACACATTTTGGTCCAGCGCAGCGCGCAAACACTCGTCCGCAAAGTCTCGCTCGCCCGCATCGCCAGAGCCGCCTCCGCTCGGCGCCACGCTCGGCAGCTCCTACGAAAGTTGCCCAGACCAACCCTTCGACTTCAACGATCTGCCCCTCACGCCACCCGATTCCGGCGGCTCAGCCTTCGAGCTCCATCCTGCCACCGCCGCTCGACAGCAGCCTCCTCCGCTCGTCGCCGCCGCGACACTCGAACAGGATTTCAAGCCGCAACAGAAACCACACAGCAAGAACGACATCTTCAACGCCCCCATCTCTTGGCTCACGCCTCCATCACGCATCAACCCCGCTCCACCCTCGCAACCTCACACCGCCGCTCCTCCGCCATCCAAGAACTCGTCCTTCTTCTCCTCCTTCGGCTCCGCATCCTCGCCACAGCCGCCCTTGCAGCCCCCGCCGCCACCGGCACGCCTGCACAACGCTCCGGCTCGTTCCTCATCGTCGACACATGCCGCCGTCACATCCACTCGTCAGCTCGATTCCAAGCCTGCGCCGTTTGCTCCCGCACCGACAATACCAAGCCCCTCCGCAGCCAAGCAGCAGGCCACGGGTCGCAAACTCGGCCACTCGCGCAACTCGTCCCTCGGCCGAGCCAGCTCAGAGGAGTGCCTTCAGGAGGAAGCCAGAATACGCGCCGCCAAGCATGTCGACTTTCGCCTCTGCCCCACAAACGAGTTCCTCCTCGGCGAGGGCCGCCACTGCTCCGTCTATCTGGGCAGCTACCGTCCAACGCATGATCCCCTTCCAGCAGCATCCAGCTCCGACTCAGCATACCAAGCCAGCATGTGGCGCCTCTGCGCAATCAAACGTCTTCACGCCGACCGTCAGAGCCAGTTGCTGGGCCTCGACGAAGCCTTTGCCCTTCGTCGCCTCGGCATGCATCCCAACATCATCCAGCTCATCGACATTCGTGACGAGGTGGAATTTGCCACGGCACCCGATCCATCCGCCAACCCGCATGCTTCCCGCCCCGACGTCCCCTCCGCAGGGCTAGGGCTCGGGCTCGGTCTTCCCCGCATCGAAGGCAGAGGCGCACTGTCCACGCCGCTTGGACATGCAAGCCACGCGAGATCGACCAGCGATATGACGGGCAAGGACGAGCTCATCTTCGAGACAAAGTCGCACAAACGCGCCCTCGCCGAAGAAATCGAGCGTCGAGTGGCTCGCGATTCCTTGCCTGATTCGCACCCCGCCGAACGCACCAGAGTCGTGACTACAGAGTACAGAGCAAGTGATCTGAGAGCCAACCCAACCTTCTTGGTGCATGTACCCGACAGCGATGCGCAAGAGATCGGCGCAAACGCCAACGAGGCCGACCAGCGCATTCACACCGCGCCTGTTCGCAGATCGGCCAGCACCGCACTTGACCCTCCTCGCCTCCTCATCCTGCTCGAGCTCCTGCCTCACAACCTCGCCCTTTACGCCAGGAAGCACGCTGACCGCATCGATCTGCAGCAGTGGCTCGACTGGGCCCATCAGATGGTCGAAGCCGTCGCCTTCCTTCACGACAAGGGCTGCGTGCATGCCGACATCAAAAAGGAGAACATGCTGCTCACAGACGGCCTCGACATCAAGCTCTGCGACTTCAATTCCGCCGTCTTCCCCAACCCTAACGATCCGCCTCGCGATGGCCTCGGCCTCGGCACGCCCGCCTACTGTGCTCCTGAGCTGAGCCGCGCCACGGGCGGCCCGAGTGCTACGAGCTTCTCCTATCCCATCGACATCTTCTCGCTCGGCGCCGTGCTCTACTCGCTCGCCACCGGCGCGGAGCCCTTCAGCAAGGCACGCAGCGTGGTCGAGATGCTCCATCGCAAGCGCCTCTTCTTTGAGAGCGAGGAGAACGACCGCGCCTCGCGCCTCGCTGTCGAAGCAGGCAGTAACCCCAACAGCCAACCCGCCAGTCGCAGCGGCAGTCTGCGCGGTCGGCACCCAAAGTCGTCGTCGGCCTCGATCAACGAGACGCCCGCCGGCGCCGCTTCTCCCGCACAGCTGGCCTCCTCGCTCCATCGCATCCTGCAGCTGGGCTCGCCCGCACCGCGCCCGCCGCGCCGCGAAGCGAGCAGCGACAGCCTCGAGAGCGTGGCGTCGAGCATCACCACCATCGCAGGGCGCCATCCAAGCTCCCTCGCCGTCTCGCGGCTGCTCGAGCCCACCGACGAACCACGCGGGCTGCTCGTCGATCGCAGTGGGCCGATGCGCAAGAACTCGCTGCTGTTCGCCAAGGCCGACGTCCGAAGGGCCGCATCCACAGGCGGGCGCAATGCGACGGCGGCGGGCAGTGCCGCCCTGCAGAGGCTGCGCATCTCGCGCGACGAGGGAGTTTCTGCGCTCGCCTCGCCCATCACCGCAGCTGGCGATGACCATGCCCCAGACGCGACGGACCAACCCGCGGTCAGGAAAGGAGCGCCGGGTGTGGCGCGCGTGACGATGCTCGAGGCAACTTCGCGTCCCGACTGGCTACGACGCCGCTCTTCGTATGGCGACGAGGTGCGAGCTCAGAGCGCACACCACAGCCCGTCGGACGCTGTAGCCATTGCGCAGGTATCAGGGTCGGAACTGGTCGCAGAGCGCGCCGACGAACTAGCCACCACCCCGACCAAGCCCAGCCGACTGCGCACTATGTTCTCGCCCATGTCCACTGCATTTCCGCACCTCGGCGAACATGACCAGCTCGTTGTGGAGAACAGTGCACACGAGACAGCCACGCATCTGGCACCCGATGACGACACGTCGGCGTGGGAACAGCACTCTCCGGACCTGCGCCCGTATGCCGACGGCCATCCCGCCATCATCCTCCCCGCCGGTGGACGATTGCCAGACTGGGCCAGAGACCTCCTGCGCGACATGCTCCACGCCGATCCCGCCGCCAGACCCACCGCCCACCAAGTGCGCAGCCGTCTGCGCTCGGCCGCCCTCTCCTACATTTGACTCGTGCTTGTCACGCCCATTGATACCCGGCTCAATTCGCAATCTTTGCAGCCACCATGCCCCCCGTTCACAGTGTCTGGCGTGTGTGATATTGAGCGATTGTGCATTGTGTCGTGATTCATGCATTTGGTGTGCTCAGGCTCAGATCCACTTGAGCCACGCCTGTTTCGTGTCGGACGAGATCTTCTCCACCACCACCTTGACCAATCGCTTGGTCGAATCGCCCTTGGGGCGGTGCTCGTTGTCTGCGTTGTCCGCGTCGTAGCCAGTTCGACCGACTGAGCGCGGATGGGGGATGTGAGGGACAAACGCTCCGCCCCGACCCTCGCCAGCTCCTTCATCCGGCGTCGCCGCGGGACTACCCTTGGTCTTGCCGCTGTGTGCCTGTAGCACCGAGTCAATAGTCGGCACTTGCCTGCGGAACGTCGGACTGCTAGGCCCAGATGCCGCGCCGACCGAGTCGCCTCGGCTGTACTCGGCGTCGTCATCCTCTTCTCCTTCTTCCTCCTCCTCTGACAGCACCTCATCCTGGCTGTGTAGGTCGTACAGAGATCCCACCATGCCCTCGGCTGGTCGAGTAGCCGATTGCGAGCGCGGCCAGCGCCTCGTGCCGTCAAAGCGCATGCCGGGATCTGACATCACCGAGCTCGCCAGGTCCCAACCTCCTTCTTCGGCTCCCCTGCCAGCGTCCTCCGAGCTCTTCCGTGCTCCGTGCCCCGCCTGTGCTCGACCTTGGGACGTAGCAGCTGCGTCGCTCGACGAGATCGTGCTGGAACGCTGGCGGGAACGCAGGAAGCCGCGCCGGCGATTGCGTTTGCGCTCACGGTCGAGCCCCTCCAAAACCTCGATGCCGGTACGGCCCAGAATGCCGTCACCTTCATCCGATCCCCGGGCGACATCAGCTCGCCTGAACGAGAGGGAACCGACATCGTTGGCCGATGCCATTCGCTGGTGGCGCGAGGGCACGCGCTCGTTGGGTGAACGTTCAGCGCCGTCCAAGGCAGACGATGCCATCTTGCCAAACAACGTTGAAGATTGAGGCAGCGAAGACGAGATCGCCGCGGCAGTCGAGCCTGACTCGGCAGGCAGCATAGACTCATTCTCCAGATCTGCAATGTCGTTCGCAACGGCATCCGTTTCAGCAGCTTGGAGGAGGGCCTTGCGGTATGACTCGGACGCCCGGATGCCGATTGGTCGGCGCTCCTGCTCAAGCACTCCAGATGAGATCGTGCGGGAGATGGACGGCTTGCTGGTGGAGGCATTGGCCGCACTCGGCTGCTCGGATGGCTTGATGGTGCCAACCACGTGTCCTTCGGAATCGATGGCCGCCTTGAAGCCCTCGATCTTCTCGAGCCGTTCCTCGGAGACTTCTTGCACCTCCTGCCGGATGAGCTTCTTTTCGCGAGCACACAGGTCGAGGGGACCTTCGTCGGCAGCGCGGAGACTCTGGACCAGGGTCCAGCCCTGGCCACGCATGACACTCATCTGCTTGTCGAACTTGGCTTGGTCAAAGTACGGATCCTGCTCAAAGATCTTGCGGAGGCCGCGAGTGGTGTGCTGCCACCATGCCGGATCATTGAGGATAGGAAGTAGATGCTCGCGTGTGGCGTCGGAGAAGGGCAGCCCGATGAGGTCGCTCGGAAGGAAAAGCCAGCCGAACGGGTATTGGCGGATCTCGTTGGGATGCTTGATCGGGAACGAGAGCGAGTTGTCGATAGCACCGATCTTGATCTCGTCCTTTTCGACATCGTGCCGGATCATAAAGTTGTCGAGGCCGCGGTCCGTGTTGCGCATAAGGAAGTCCAGGACAACGAGCCGCTCAAGCTGCAGGCGGAACTGCTCCATGAGTTTGGGCGTCCAAGAGAAGCCATCCGTCGGAGCGCCGTCGGGAACGGGAGAGTTCGAGGCGCTGACCTCCGTCCCAGGTGCTGGCGAAGATGCGGACGGGTGAGGCGCGGAGGGCAATGGATCGCCATTAAGCTCTTCCCATGAAGGACGGCAGAGGACGAGACGTTTGAGGGCGACTCCGCAGTTGCGCAGTCGCGCGCGCTCTTTCCTGCGGGAGACCTTGTGGGCTCGGCTTTCCTCGTCCATGTCACGGATGAGCAGCGTCTTGCTTCGAGTGCGAGACGGCCAGGGATGCTTGCGCAGAAAGTCGGACGCATTGACGTAGCCCTTGAGGAAAGTCTGGTAGCTTCCGATCTTGTCTGGTAAGGGGATGCGATGCTCGTCGTATGCTACGCGGTCGCTGTATGCGTAATGGAAGGTAGGCGAGGAAAGTTGGACCAGTTCGGTCCTAGGTACCATTTGGAGAGCGAGGCGAGAGTCGAGATACGAGGCGCCCACTTCGGAGAGGTACGAGAAGTTGGGGATCAGGCATGGACGACCCATGGCCCACCACAGATACTTGCGTAAGAATTGTCGCTTTGGGTTGAGGTTGCCATAGGGCTCCTCGTCCTTTGGTTTGAAGACGGCCACGACAGTAGTAGGCGGTTGCGACTGAGATGCATTGCTGGCTGTCTTGTGCGCTGCGATTGAAGCCTCCTCTGGTGGGTCTGAGAGGATGCGGATGAAGTAGGAGCCACTAGAGCCAGTGGCGATCATCTTGGGATAGATGCACTTGCTGATGGCATGCTTGACCTGCTCCACCTGATGCTGGAACTCTGCCGATGACATGGCGGTGACTTCGTGACGAGAGTTTTGCAGGGCTGACGCACGCTTCGCATCGAGAATGCGCTGAGCCTGGCCGAGACCGTCGAAGTGCGTGATAAGGACTGTGGGCTCGGATTGTCGGTGGGCCTTGCCACGGAACTTGCGGGCCACAGCGGCCTTCCACTGTCTGAACCTGGCATCAAAGTCGAGTTCGTCATCAGCCTGCCGGTGCCGTTGACGAGCACCTTGGCTGCCACCGCTGGCGGTGCGCGCCAACAGCGGCGCGCGCTCGTCGAGATCGTCTGCAGCCATGGAGACCAAGAGAGATGCGATGCGGCGCCGGGCCGTTGAATTTCGCCCTATGGGGCCTGGAGGAGCTCGCGCTCAGCCCGAATGTGTTGGAAGCGCTTCTGTGTACGTGGACATGCTGTCGTCTGGAAGATCAGACTGTCAGACTGGATGGAGATGGTGGCGAAGAGCGATTCTCACCAGGAGGGGGCGGGGGAGAGGGGCAGGAGAGGCTGAGTCGAACTGCAATGCGTCGAGGGCTGATCCATGCCTGCGTGCTTTCCGAAACGGCTCGAGCGCCAAGCGTGCGTCAGCGAGGCAGCCGAAAGTGTGCTTTTGTGATTTTTGCGATGCAGGGTCAGGGTCGCTGGCTCAGGCGAGGGACGTGCATGTGGTTTGCATCATCATCCCAAGCTCTGTCACTCTCGGATCGATGGCTCGGAAAGGTGACTGCAATGCACCCCGACTGCTCCGACCTAACATTTTCGATTTTCTCCACTCTCCACTCTTTAATTTCAGGGTGCAGCTCAAGCCACACCTCGACGACCCAACCAAGATGCTCACGCGTGACCGAGCGCAGTCGAGACGAGGGTGCTGAGCTGCTGCGGCTGCCCAGCCAAAGCAACACAACACTCCCAGCGGCGCACGGTCAGGCTTTTGGAAAATCAACACTGCGCGGCTTCCTCACGCGCAGGCACCAACGTCGAAAGGGCTGGCAGTGTCCCTTTCAACCTCTCCATCACCACCGCCAGCCCACACTACTCAAAGATCGGATCAGCCGACATCGTCGTGGGCTTTCCCACCTCCCGCCTGATCGGATTGCCTCAATCAAGCACTCGATCTGGCATCGTTTCCAACCCCATCGAGAAAGCCACCGGATTGTCGAGCCCGCCACAGTCGACATGTCGGGCATTCCGACGACGCCCAACATGCGTTCGGGCCTACCGACACCCTCGTCAGCCTCGAGAAGAATCTCGCCGTCGCATGCCGGGCTGAGCCCTTCGATCGACAGTCCGGACACGAGGTTCAAGAAGCAGACACTGGCCGAAGCCATCTCGAATAACGACCCGGCAAAGTACCGCCTCTCCGGCTCGTCGTCCTCGGTCGCATCACCCGGTGGAGGCCGCGAAGACGTCGACTCGGATGGCAACTCGCCGCTGCTCGTCGCAGGTCGGCTTCCCCGCGCCTCTCTCATCTCGCGCAGGTCGCATTCGTCGCTGCGATCCGACACGCCTCCCACCAGGCTCGCTCCGTTGCCCAAGGGCTCGCCCTCGGCGGGCTCAGAGACCTCGCCCGGCTCCAGCAGCTCGATCGCACGCAGCAAGAGCCCGTTCGCTCCAGCAGCCATCACAACCCGCAGTGTGGCCACCCCCAAACGCTACTCGGACATGCATGCGCGCGGAAGCTACACACCTTCGCTCGTCAGCAGAACGCCTTCCCACACCTCGTCGACCGCCGCCTCTCGCGCAAAGGAGACCGTGCGTCGCGGGAGGGAGCTCGAAATCGGCGACGTGGTGCGCATGGAGGGATCCGAGCTGGTCGGTGTGCTCCGTCACCTCGGACCCGTCCAGTTCAAGCCAGGCTTTTACGCAGGTCTCGAGCTCACCGGCGACAGCGTCGGCAAGGGCAAGAACGATGGCAGCGTCCAAGGCACCCAGTACTTTGCCTGTGCTCCAGGCAACGGCGTCTTCTGCCCCGCCTCCAAAGTCGTCGCCATCAACGATTCGCCACCCACCGACGCCGTCGCCCGCCCGGCTTCCTCCATGTCCAACCGACCCTCGTCTCGTGCTTCGGACCTTCCCGATCGCCAAGGCGCCATCACTCCCTCTCGACGCCGCGCCAGCACCGTCTCTCGCCCACCCTCCGAGACCCCTTCCCGCGCATCCTCTCGTATCAGCGTGCGCCCTCCCTCCACGACGCCGGCAAGCAGACCCGCCTCGGTCCTGTCTACCTCTCGTCCGGCCAGCCGACTCGCGGCGCGCAAGAGCCTTGCTGGCACCGCCTCGCGTCAAGCCGACGATGAAGACACGTCACGTCATCAAGCTTCCAAGATCGGCCAGACGAGCCCCGTACGCGCTCCGGCGCAATCGGCGTCCTCGACAGCCACCCGCACGCCCAGAACGTCGCTCGCAGGCTCACGCGCCGCCTCCAGCGTCCTGCAAAGCACACCCAGCATGGCCAAGAAACGACAGAGCTTGGGCGGCATCCCAACACCGCGCGCTACCAAGGGCCGAGCTTCGATGTTCGCCCGTCCGGGCGGCATCCCGTCCGCTACCGATTCAGGCATGCCTCCGCCCCCAAGTCCGACCAAAGACGGCCGCGCAGGAGGTGCGTCCAGTGTCTTGTCCATGCGCTCTAGCAGCCGACTCGGTCGTGATGCATCGGATCTCGAAAATTCGCCCGGCTCCCGTCAAGACACCAACGCAATCTCGGACTCCAACTTGGAGAAGAATCGCGTGCTGCTCGAACAGATGGACCTCACGCCTCGCAAGTCGGCTCAGCTCGCTGCTGCGCGTTCCCAGTCTAGAGCAGAGAGCAGAGCAGGCCTCCATGACGATCTCACGCACGACTCTGTCGCCGAGGCTGTGGTGCCTCTGTCACTCTACGAGGATCAGGTAGCCGATTACGATAAGCTGCGTCTGCAGCTGCAGGAGCTCGAGAAGCAGAATGCCGAGCTTCGCCGTGCGCAGGAAGCGAGGAAGGCACGAGCCTCCGAGGTGCGCTCCAACGAGGCCATTCTTGAGGCAGAACGCGTCAAGATGCGAGCAGAGGCACGCGACAGGCAGGCCGAGATGGAGGAAGAGCGCCGCCTCGAGCGAGCCGACGAGCTCCGTCGCCGCAAGGAGATCGAAGAGCGCGAAAGAGAGCTTCGAGACAAGATGAGCAAGAAGGACGACGACCATCAGCGCTACCAGCAAGAAGCCGAGAGCAGGCAGAAGAGCTTGCAGGTAAAGCTCGAGGCGAGCGAGCAGCTGGTCAAGGAGATGAAGGACCGCATCGAGCACGAATCCGCGCGTGGCGAGTCTCAAGAGACCCTGCAGACCCAGCTGCAGCTCAAGGACGCCGAGATCGACAGCCTCAAGTCGTCGCTTCGCCGGCTGGAAGAAGAGGCGCAGGCGTCGCGAGACGCGTTGAGCCGCCAGATTGACGAGCTCAAGGACGCCGGTCGCGAGACCATCAGCCTGTACGAGCAGAGGATCGAAGAGATCGACAGCGAGCGGATCGAAGTGCTCGAAAACATGCAGCTGCTCCAAGACAAGGCGCAGGAGGCCATCCGAGCTGCCGAGACTCGTGTCGAGGAGCTCCAAGCCGCCCTCAGCTCGCAGCAGAGCCGCAGTGGCGGCCTCGAGGCTGGCAGCGCCGCCGCCATCGACAACGAGGCGTTGCGCGAGCAAGTCGCTCACCTGCAGGATAAGCTCGGCAAGTACGAAGACCAGATCTCCGAGGCGGCACTCAACCTCGAAAAGGAGAAGGAGTACGCGCAGAAGCGGCGCGACAAGTCGCACGAGGTCGAGACGAGCCTCAAGAATGAGCTCAAGCGCATGCGCGTCGAGGCAGAGCGTGCTCAGCGTGCCAGCAAAGAGCAGCTCGCGCAGCTCGAGGAAACGCGGCATGCCCTGCAGGAGAGCCAGCATGCTCTGGAGCGTGAGCGCGCCGAACTCGAGGGACTCAGGCTGGATGCCGAAAACTTCAATGCGCTCAAGAGCGGCCCCGAAAGCCTCGCGGCCTCCGGTGCGGCTGCAGCAGAGTGGCGGAGCGAAAAGGCGAAGCTCGAGGCTGAGCTTGCACGACAGAAGGAGGACAAGACGGCCGAACTTGGTGCGCGCGACGACGAGATTCGCCGGTTGCGCATGCAGCTGGAGAAGGCCGGCCCGACGGCAGGCGAGGCGGAACGCAGCCCTCGCTCGCCTGATGCAAACCGGCTGTCGACGGCTTCGATCGGGAGCACGAGCAGCTACCTCAAATCCTCGAATCGGATGTCCTCGAACGGAGCCTATGCGGCGAGCGAGGCGTCGGCAGCGTCGTCGGCGAATCAGATGTCGGGACTGAGCTACCTCGTTCGTCAGCTGAGCGACGAGAACAACGACATGAAGACCAAACATCGTCTGCTCGAGTCGGAGCTCAAGGCACGCGTGCAGGAGGCCGAGACCAAGTCGCGGACACTCGAACTCACAGTCGAATCGCTGCGACAGCAGCTAGATGCGCGTCAAGACGGCCAGGACGGCGTTGCGGACACGTCGATGCTGGCGGAGAAGCTGGCGACGAGCGAGGCGCGGCTGCATTCGAGCGAGACGACGCTGGCGGATCTGCGGTCGACGCTCGAGGCGACCAAGATGGAGCGCAAGGAGACGGCCGACTCGCTGCAGAAGGAGGTGTCGCAGCTCGAGTCGCTCGTCGAGGCCCGCATCTTCCGCGAGGAAGAGCTGATGGCCGAAGTGGAACGTCTTTCGCGCAAGCTCGACGAGCGCAGTCCGGCGAGGCGGTTTTCCAAGCTCGAGCCGGAAGCCACCAAGGCTGCGGACCCGATGCGTGCCGAAGCTGCCAAGGCACCGGTGGCAACAGGCTCTTCCAGCCGGGATGCGCCTGCACCCAGCACGGCAATTCCCGCCCAGGGAGAGGCCGAGCCGTGCGACGATTGCGGAGAAGTAGGACACCGCTTTGAAGACTGTCCCTATGCTGCCGAGATCTTCTGAGCGTCGCGAGTTGCACATCGACGACGGCGGAGCAGGATGCGCTGTCCTTTCAGAGTTGTTGAAATGTCACGGTGGCATCCAGCAATATGCATCAGGCGGCATTTTTGAAGCCATGATTTTGCGTGTCGATTTCGGTCAAATTTGCTTTTCGAGACGGGGTTGGAAGATGGGAGCAGCGCGTGGCCGAGGCGGGACTGGAGCAGGTGGCTGGCGGTGGCTGGCTGTGGTACAGATTTGTTGCCGGTTTCGCCTGAACCAGTTTTGTGGAATGAAGGCATGAATGGTGGCGCAGGCTCGCAATGCGAAGCGGGATATGTGTGCAGCAGCGAGCAGCACGAGGCCGAGCATGCAAGATCGGCGAAGGGGGTGTCTCAAACGCCACGGCCGGTATGCGGCGATGTCAAGTCACGTGATACGACGCGGTGCGTCGCGCTGCCAACTCAGACGCGGCGTCCGAAAAGTTGCCACTTTCCTTTCTTCTTCGCGCGTGGTTGGGGGGGG